TTCGGATACGCGCTTATTCGGCAATATTTAGAAATTAATATTTCGTCAACTATTGCAAAAATTGCAAAATTGTAAAGGACTTTTCGACCGAATTTTTAATTAGAAATAACGCTACATGATTAGCGTCCGCTATTTAAGAAACACCCTGTATAGCGACGACATCGCATAGATGTTGAGACGGTGAGAAGCTCACCTGTTTCTGGGCCTTGTCCATGATACGGTACGAGGGTGAATTGTGATGACCGGATGCTGCGACGACGGCGCCCGCCTTACGAGACACGCATTGCCCCATATAGATCCGCCAACCTTGTCCCAACACCGAATGCTGTTCACATAAGAGAGTATTCATTAATAAAAGTACGAGTAGTCTGTAAATACGCGTTCGTGCGCTTACGCTAATTGTTAAAGCCATTTAGAGGAGAGCAACACGTAAAGTTGAAGATAGACCAAGATACCGTGTAAATTAGTAGACAAGAGTTTTTCCCTTAACACACGTTATTATACGTCCGCATACTATCGACGACGACATAGCGGAAAGAGTTAAATTTATGAGTATAACAGTTCTCATCCCGATTGCACACCTGCCTCCCCATTCGCTTTCATTAACATTTCAGCTCGCAGCTGATCGATGGAGAATCTTCATTCGATAGAAGCGAAAATCATTAAGCGAAAAGAAAGTATAAATAGCGGAAGAATATATATGCAGCCAGGGCATCAAGAAGTAGACAGAGTACCACCACCTGAAGTAACATGTAAGTCCGGGAAAAGTTCCGCGCTGATCGATAAAGCCTATTTCTCTGTCGAAAGGAGAAAATGCGCGATTTAACCAGAGGCACCGGTCGAGGTATGCCGAGGTACATCATCTATGATTACCTTTCGCGTTACGGCACCGGTTCTCAATCTTGCAGGTCACGAACCGAACTCGCGTCCCCATTAGATACACCGGTGTTGCGATATACAGAATGTTCTGAAGAAGAGACATTAGCAGCGAAGCGCGAAGGAAGAAACATTCCAAGAAATATGTATAAAACGTGATTTTTGCTTGGAATTCTTTTGCGGCAATAAAGGATCTTGTAAAAATAGTTAAAAAGAAAGTCACGTGTAGAAATATATAAATTACTTTAATGGAAGAGAAACGTTTAATAAAATAATCCTAATGGCATCATTCGACTATCGATAAATTCACGGCATAAATCTATGTTATAAGGGCAGTGATTGTGTTAAAACCGGGAAATAGGACACGGATTTTAAAAACCCGATTCTCTCTCTCGAGCGTCGCTCTCGTCGAAAATTCGGCACGGATCGAACGTAGATGGGTATTGACCCACAAGCAAATACGATAGCAATGACTCTCTAAACATTCAATGATGTCTCTCGCAAGATGACTATCATTAATACCGTTACGTAAATATATAATGTGTGTATGTGTGTGTGTGTATGTGTGTGTGTGTGTGTGTGTGTAAATATTTTTCAAATTTTATATTATATTTAT